TACCCCAGCAGAAGGGCATCCTAATAGCAGCAAAGGTGGCGAGGCGGATTGAGGAGTAGGAGGTCGGCAAGTGAGACCTTGCATTCCTATGGAGTCCTAGGCGCGACAAGGGTGATAACACGACCATGTGCACCGTAGTGTTTTTGTTGCCATGGGTCGTGGCCGTGTGACAGGGGTGAGAGCAAGGCTATGTTCAACGTAGTGTTTTTTTTGCAAGGATCGCAAAGAATTGTGGCCGAATGAAAGATGTAAGGGAACGGCCATGTGCACTGTAATGTCTTATTTACAAGCCCCCCCTAACGTGGCAAATCCCTAACCTAACCTGACCCGGCCCTAACGACACTGCGCCAAAGCTAACCTGACCAATTACAGCTAACGTGACCAACGGCTCTGTGACACCAGTGTGTCACGCGCGCGCTGTAGCAAATGATGCACCAGCATGGGACGACACAGCAACATCCGATGTCAAAGTGTCAACGTTATCACTATATCCCTCTGCGTTCCCAATGAAGAATCTGGCCGGCGCGGAAGCGAAAACAATTTTCGCAATCATTAATGTGGCCGGCGCTGTGCCGAGATCAACATTCTCAATCATGGATGTGGGCGCTGAGGCAAGAGCAACTTTCGCAATCGGGGATGTCGCTGGCGCCTAGGCGGCAACACCATGTTTTCATCATAGATGTGGCCCACACACAAGCCCGAGCATAATTCCGAGACAAACGCGTCGCCAGAAAGCAGGTGTCGCGCCCATTCCGCGTGGGCGGGGCTCGGTGTCAGCGAGGCCTGGGTTACGTTGGCGGGGTGCGTGGCCGCGTGCCAGGGGTGAGGGCACGGCCATGTGCTCTGCACGATGTTTTTCCGCAAGCACCGCGGCCGTGCGAGTGGGGTGGACACGCGGCCATGTGCACCGTGATGGTATGTCCCAACGCTCCTGCGTTGAGTTCTCGCTTTGCATGGAAGACCACGCTTGGGAGGCTGTCGCCACTTTCGAGGGCTGCCATGGGGATCCAGCCGAGGGACGTGCTTGCGACGCAGATCCAGATTCGACCTCGCCATCCCTTGGGGGCTGCGGGCTGCGAAAATGTCGCCACTTTCGAGGGCTGCTGGGGGATCACCTGGGTGAAGTGCTAGGCTTATTCACGTCATACGTCGCGATCTCTGGGGGACTGCGAACTGCGAATCTGTCTCCACTTTCGAAGGGTGCTGGTGCGTCCAACGGGGTGACGTGCTAAGCAGATGCAAATTCGACCTCGCCGTCTCTGGGGGGCTACGAACTGCGAATCAGTCGCCGCTTTCGAGGGCTGCTGGGGGGTCAAATGGGGTGACGTGCTACGCACAATCAGATTCACCTCTCCACCACAGGGGGGCTACGAACTTCAAACTTGTCGTCACTGTCGAAGGTTGCTGGGGGGTTCCAACGGAGTGACGTGCTACGCAGATTCAGATTCGACCTCGCCACCCCTTAGGGGGCTGCGAGTTGCGTTACCGTCGCCACTTTCGAAGGCTGCTGGGGGATCCAGCTGGGTGACGTGCTGCAAAAATTCACATTCGACCTCACCTTCTTTGGGAGGGCTGCGAACTCCGAAATTGTTACCACTTTCGAGGGCTGATGTGGGGTCCAGCGGAGTGACATGCTACGCCGACTCAAATTCGATCTGCCCACCCCTGGGGGGCTGCGAACTGCAAAGTGCCGCCATTTTCGAAGGCTGCTGGGGGTCCAACGGGGAGACGTGCTACGCTAATTCACACTAAACCTCGCCATCCCGCGGGGGGGCTTCGAACTGCGAACACGTTGCCACTTTCGAAAGCTCCTGAGGGTTCCAGCGGAATGGCGTGCTACTCAAATTCAGACTACACCTCGCCACCCATGTGGTGCTGCGAATTGCGAAACTGTCGCCAATGTCGAAGGCTCCTCGGGCTGCGAACTCCGAAACTGCCACCGCTTTCGAGGGCTGCTTGGGGGTCCACCGGGGTGACGTGTTACGCGGGTGAAGAGTCGACCTGACCATCCATGGGGGGCTGCGAGCTGCGAGGCTGCGAACTGCGAAAATGTTGCCGCTGTCTGGACTTGCTGGGGACTCCTGCAGACAGATGTGCTGCGCAGATCCAGACTCGACCTCGCCATCCGACTTGCGAAACGGTCGCCACTTTCGAGGGTTGCTGGGGGGTTTATAGGAACGACGTGCTAGGCAGATTCGCACTCTACCTGGCCATCTTTGGGGGGCTGCGACATGCGAACATGTTGCAGGTCTCGAGGATTTTGGGGGGTCCACCAGAACGACGTGCTACGCAGATCCAAGCTAGAACTCGCCATCCCAAGGGGGGTGCGAATTGCGAAGGTGTCGCCCCTTTTGAAGGATGCTGGGAGGTCCATCGTGGTGACGTGCTACGCAATCTCATATTCGAGGTCAGCGGGGTGACGCGCCAGAAGATTCAGATTCGACCTCGGCATCCCTGGGGGGGGCTGCGGACTGCGAGGTGATCGCCAATTTCGAAGTGCATTCCCGGCCGAGGCGAAGAGGGACTATACACTATCGTAGGGCCCAGGATGCCCCTGGCCCCGACATCGTGGTGTTTAGATACTTTCTGCGGTCATGACAGGGTCGGCGCGATCGTAGTGTAAGCGGGCGACTGCATGGCCGCGGACGAGCGGGAAGGGAAGCGGGTGATTTAATAGCAAGAGGAGGCCAGCGTTAGCAACACTTGCGAGGCAAATCGCAGCACGCCGCCACCTGGAGGCCCTTCTTGGCGTTGGCACCTTGGTTGCATATCCATCCGCCACCGTGATCCCACGAGGCCTCTCAGAGTCGTCTGGTCGACGACCCAGACACGGTGCAGGGATGAGCCGAACACCACCAAATCCGCCGCTAACCCTTCCAACAAAAATCCCAATGGTGTCCCAACCGACCCATCAGAAAACAAACGGCCAGGCAACACTCCGTCGGCTTTCCCGTCCGCCCCACGAGAGCCTCCGAGACGGCCAGGGTGGCCTCGATAGCCTCCTTCCTCAGCTAATATGGTCCCAGGAGGGCCCGAGATGGCTACAGGCCTGAAGTCTGCCTGCCCAAGAAGCCCATGACGCGGCCCAGGAGGGCTCCTAGTTGCGCTCTGGCAGGGCCCACGGAGGCCAACATCATTGATGCCCCTGAGTTGTTTGAAAGATTTGGGCGTCTTTGGGCGCCGCTTGAAGGGGGGGCGATACATGCGGGAAAAATGCAAATTTCGAGCCCTAGAGGCTCATTTGGAGCCCTAAAGAGCCCTCACAGGGGCGCTAAAGTGCCCCCTTTCTCCAGCCCTCGCTGACCCCCCCATTCATCGCCCGACTGTTACGCGACGCCCAACGCTCTCGCGCCCACCGCTCTCGCGTTCTCGTCCGGCAACCCGTGACGGCCCCACGTGCCCCCAAGAAAGCTCCAAGACGGCCCCACACGCCCCCCTCCTGAGGGCCCCAAGACGGTCCAAGAGGGCCTCAGGACGGGCCAAGAAGGGTCTTGGGGCCGTCTTGGGACCATCTTGGGGCCCTCTTGGGAGCCCTGGAGGGCCTCTTGAAGCCATTTTGGAGGCTTTCGATCAATTGGCGGGGGTCCTCGATTTCCCCCCCCGCCACCCCCACAACCTTGGGCCATCAAAATCAACTCACGACGCTCTTTGAAAGTTCTTGGGCGCTCTTGGGGCCGTTTTGGAGCCCTCTTGGGCCTCTCTTGGGGCTCTCTTGGGCCATCTTGGGGCCCCTTGACTCTTGACGCCCCAAACATACGCCATCGATTTCTGCAGGTTTTGGAAATTCTTGGCCTCCGGGGTGGGTCCCGATGGGGGCTCCGACAACGCTTGAAACCGTCTTGTGGCCCTCGTCGGGCCTCTGGGAGGTATGTCGGAAGCTAGTTTGAACCATCTTCGGTTATCTTGAGCCGCCTTGGAGGCCATCTTGGAACATCGGAGGCACTCTTGCAACCATCTCGGACCATCTTGGGCGCCGTGACCGCTCGCGACCTCCCCAAATAATAAAAAAGCAAGGAGGGGATAGGGGGATGGTACCCCCTCCCCAAGGGAAGAGGGGCTTTGGAAGAGGAGAAGAAATCGTTAGACCACCTACGCCCAAAAGGCTAGTGGGACTGAGCACAAAGGCGGAAGGACAGGCAGGGGAGGAAAGGGATAAAGGGCTGCGGACGGACGGAGCGCCCTCAGAGCGTGCAGGTCCCGCCCCAGACATGCCACGTCCTCCCCCACAAAAATCCCAACACGAATCTTGTTCGCCACTCTCGCCCTCTGGGGGCCCTCGCCGGGCCCGGGGGCCGTCAGAAAGCGACTCCAGATGAGGGGCCAGCGGCCCGCCCCGGGGAAGTGGTCCAGAGCTCCAGGCACCGCGCATGGGAAACTTCAAAACGTCGCATGCCGAGGGCTGCGCGGTCGCCCGCCCGCAGGAGCAGCACGTCTGCCTCGCCGCCGACGGAACAAATGGCCGGGGCTGCTCCCCAGGTCTCTCCCGGGGCGCGTTCTGGCTTGGCTTTCGGGGCGGATCTGGCCCCGGGGGCCTCTCAAGAGGCCCCAGAACGACGAATCAGACGAGGCCCACGTAGCGGTGTCGGTGCCCCTCTTCCTCCTCTGAGAGGAGCCAATTTTCTGATTGTCGCGAGCCGAGAGCGCAGGAGAGCCCAGAATCGAATCGATAAGACGGGTCGGCGATCGAAATGAATCGAATCGGCGGAGATCGGCAGCCGAGTCAGGAAATGTCGAATCGGCGGAAATCGGCAGCCTAGTAGGCCACCATGGAGAAATCAAAGCCCAAATACGAATCCGAAGTCGAATCGAATCGGAATCGAAAGCCGTCGAAATCGAACCGAATCGAATCGGAGGAATCGACATGAGCCCTGAGACTGGGCGAGCGACGCGCCGAAGCGCGAGGTACCGCCTGGGCCGGGGCGGGCACGGACGACGTTGGCGAGCAGCGGCGTGAGCAGCAGCCGCTCCACCGCGCCGGTCACGAGGACGGCCAGGCGGCCCTGGTGCAGGGGCGCCGCGTGGCACGCTGCCCAATTTTTCCATTATTTGTTGTTTTGTGTTCATCTACGTACGATAGGCTTCGGAATCTCCCGAGGCCCGGAAATACGAGCATCGGCTGGCGCTGTGGAGCCGCGAGACCGTCAGACCCGTCATCTCGGAGTCGTGAAGAACCACCATGGGCGATCCCGCCTCCCGTTTCGGCGCTGCGCACAGCGTGGATCTCGGGAGGGTAGCTTGGAGGCGTGCATCAGCCTCGGCACGGAAGTCTCAAGCTGCGACAGGCGCGGGCTTCTTGCTCAAAGTCAGGAGCTTCTGTGTGCAGCCCATGACTGGCGCAAGTGTTGGACCCAGGGCCGAATCGCCCCCTCCCCGTCCTGGACCCACTCGACGACGCGGGCCTCCCTGCCGAAAACATGGGCCTTTACGGCAGCCGAGCGGTATGTACACCAGCCAAGCTTCGTTCGCACCAGCTGCGTGGCTTGTGCCAGCCAATATGGTTCTTTATTGGCCATGCAACTACGCGCGGAGCGAAATGTAGTTGTCGGCTTCGTGTGGGACAGCTCGAGTGGATACACAGACTCCCAAAACTGAGTTTGCACTTCGGGATTCTTCTTTATGTTCTACGGACCTGGGCCTGACTGTCGGTCTGGCGGCTATGTTGTCCTCGTCGCCGCCTCGTCGGCGCCCGTCGTTTGGGCCTGACGGTCAATCTGTTCATCCTAATTCTCCTCTCTGAAAAAAAAAAAAAGTTCTACCACCCTCCCCCCCGGATTTATCCACTCACCGGGAAACGATGCAAAACACATATACTTCTGACTCACATGTCCATCCTACCTGTGAATTCATACTATCCCAGCCAGGGTGGTATCGACCACTCCTCGGTTCCCATGTAAAACTACTATGCGCGCGCACTCGTTTATCAACAATCCGAACTTTTCAAAAATCCCTTGCAACGAATGTGACGAATTGCACACGCGCGCATCGTCGCGCGCGCATGCCGAAATCTTTCAAAAACATTCGGTTGGCGAGCGATTTGAAAATCGACTGCCCCGTACAAATATAAAACACAAGGTTTCGCAACACGGATTTTCAACAAAAGCGTGTGCGCACGCTCTTGCGAATCCTTAAGAAACCCATAGGTTCTTCAACATGTCCAAGAAAATGCGACCAAACGGGCTTCGCGCGCACATGTCGAAATAGTTAGACCGCCTTTGCGCGCGTGCCGGCGCGAGAATCCCTTGCAAACAACGGGACGACATGCACACGCGCGCGTCGTCGCGCGCGCGTGCCGAAATCCTTCCAAAACCTTTGGTTTTAGAAAAAAGTTTTAAATTGAGTGTCCAACATACATACAAAAACACAAGGGTTCGCAACACGGTTTTTCAATAAAAGCGTACGCGTGCGCTCTTGCGAATTCAAAAAAAACATATGTTTTCGAACATTCCCAAAACAAATACCACCAAACAGGCTTCGCGCGCGCGCATGTCGAAATCGTTCGAAAGCCTTTGCGCGCGTGCTGGGGTGGCACGATCCGTGTCAAATATTACAATGCGAACCACTCTCGCGCGTCTGCCGCGCGCGCATTTCGATTTCCTTCCAAAACCTCCATCACCGACTCGAAGACGCCGTCATCGTCGCCGGCGTGATCGGCATCGGCGCCGTCATCGCCACTATCACCATCATCGTGTCTACAATTTTCGTCACCAGCATCGCCACTATCATCGCCATCGTGTCTACCATTGTCGACGTTGCCATGATACTGCGCCCGTCCAAGCCGCCCACTCGCACTCAAGTGCCCGCTGGCATGTGCCGAGCGGTCCGTACCACCGCAGCCTCGTCGGTCGCGCATGCGCGGGCTGGCGCAGCCGCCGAGCTGCACCAGCCAACGCCAAGCACTCATTGTAATCGCCGCCGCGTGAGGTTAGCAATCCACTATTTGCAGTTTACATTTGATTCTGCCCCATCGTCCATCCCAAATATGAACTCATAGTATCCCAGCCAAACCAGTATCACCCGCCCCAGCCATCCTTTGCAAAAAATCCTATGAGCGCGCTCTCGTTTACCAGAAATCACAAGTGTTCAATAATCCCTTGCAACAGATGGGGCGACATGCGCACGAGCGCGTCGTCGCGCGCGCATGCCGAAATCCTGTAACAACCTTCGGTTTTGGAAGGCCTTCAAAATCGAGTGTCCGAAAAACATACAAAAACACCGGGGGGGTCCGCAACAAGGATTTTCTAAGAAAAGCTTACGCGCGCGCTCTAACGAAATCTGAAATAAGAAAACCATATGTTTTCAATGTTCAACACGCGCTACCAAGCGGGCTTCGCGCGCGCATGTCGAAATCAGTCGAACGCCCTTGCGCGCGTGCCGTCGCGAGAATTTTCTGCACAAGAATGGACGAAGTGCAGACGCGCGCGTCATCGCGCGCTCGTGCTGAAATCCTTCAAAAACCGTCGGTTTCGGAAGGATTTCAAAATCGTGTCCAAAGACATACAAAAACACATGGTTTTGCAACACAAATGTTCAACAAAAGTGTGCACGCGCGCTCTTGCGTCGTCGTCGTCGTCGCCGTCCTCCCTCCTCCCTCGTCGTCGTCGTCGTCGCCGTCGTCGTCCTCTGTCTTTCCTCGTCGTCGTCGTCGTCGTCGTCTTGGCGTCGTCGTCGTTTCCGTTGTCGTTGTCGCCGTGGTCGTCCTTCCTTTTCCCTCGACGTCGTCGTCCGTCGTCGGCGTCTCGTCGTCGCCCCTCTTATTTCGTCGATGTTGTCGTCGTCGTCTTCCCTACTCCCTCGTCGATGTCGTCATGGGCGTCGCCGTCCTCCCTCCTTCGTCGTCGTTCGCGTCGTCGCCGTCCTCCCTCCTCCATCGTCGTCGTCGTTGTTGTCGCCGTCGTCGTCCTCCGTCTTCCCTCGTCTTCGTCGTCGTCTTCGTTGGCGGCGTCGTCGTCGTCGTTTGTCTTCGTCGTCGTCGTCGTCGTCGGCGTCGTCGTCGTCGGCGTTATCATCGTCGTCGTCGTCGACATTGTCGTCGTCGTCGTCGGTGTCGTCGTCGTTGTCGTCGTCGTCGAAATCGTTGGAGACGTCGTCGGTGTTGTCGTAATCGGCGTCGGCGGCGTCGTCGTCGTTGTCGTTGTCGTCGTCGGCGTCAGTATCGTTGCCAAATGCCATTTGGTACCTACCGTCACGGTGTCAGGAAGCCTTGCGACCAAATTGCGGGTGGGACGGTGGGGTGTTTGCACGAGCGCCGGAAAGGACAGCTTCAAGAAAGCCAGAGTATCTTGCACCACATAGGTTGCACAGAGTAGATTCTCCTTTCTCAAAAAATAATTAAATCGACCCCCCGAATTAACGGTACCCGTTTTCGTACAACAATATACATATGAGTCTGCCCCTCTCCAATATGAAATCATACCATCCCAGGCAGGCCGGTAGCGCCCACCCCCCCACCATCATCTGAAACAAATATCATGCGCGCGCTCGCTGATCACAACAAACAACTTTCAGAAATTCCTGCTAATGCACACGCGCGCGTCGTCGCGCGCGTACGCTAGAATCTTTCAACAGCCGTTTGTTGTTACAGAAAGGTCACCACCGAGTACCCCGCAAACATGCACAAACATGTGGTGCCGCAACACGATTTCCAATCTCAAGAAAGGGTCCCTCGCTTTCGCGGCTTTTGATAAGGAAACTTTGTCCCCCCGCATATTCGTACATACTACCAAACGGGCCTCTCGCGCGCGCGTCGAAATCGTTCGACCGCCCCTGCGCGCGTGCTGTCGCACAAATCCCTCGCAACGAATGGGGCGAAGAGCACACGCGCGCGTCGTCGCGCGCGCACGCAAACATCATTCAAAACGCTTGGTTCCGCCAGGATTTCAAAATCGAGTGTCCCGCATATTTATATAGAACGCATGGCTTTGCAACGTTAGCTTCCCACTGGTAAAAAATATGGCGCTCGCGCTTTTGTGAATTCTCAAGGACGCCACAAGTTCTTGAACATTGTCATTCACTTCTGCCAGACGGGCCTCTCGCGCCGCATGTCGAAATCATTCAAACGCCCTTGCGCGCGTGATGGGGGAGACACGATCCGCGACAGATGATATCATGCGCGCCACTCTCGCGCGTCGGCCGCCCGCGCATGTCGAACTCGTTCCAGCCCTTCATCACCGACGCGAACGCGCCGTCGTCGTCGTCGTCGCAAAAATCCGCATCGGCACCGTCACTGGCTTTGCCGTCGTTGCTGTCACCATCGTCACCAGCATCGCTACTAGCATCATCGTGTCTATCGTTGTCGACGTTGCCATGGTACCGTGCCCGCCCGAGCCGCCAACTCGCACTGAAGTGCCCGCAGGGAAGTACCCAGCGGTTAGCGCCACCGCGGCCGCGTCGGTCGCTCCAAACTAGCTGGCCGCCTCGCGCGCGAGCAGGCGCGGGCTAGCACCACCGCAGATCTTAGAAATTCGAGCTGGCCTCCGAGGATTTCTGCTTATGCTATTTTTTGCTCCTCCACAGCAGGTGCCGACATTGCCACTCCCCAGAACTCTCTTGAGGCGCCTTCTGGCCAGGACTTCGACGATAATCCATGCGTGGTGACGCCGGCTTTGTCTCCAGGAGGAGCAGCGGTATACGTACCCCGGGCGCTGAGGGACTCAGACATCCAGCTGATCCAATTTTTTCGAAGCGTGGGTCCCGGAGGTGCGGACCACTTCTCCGGGGGCAGTGTCTTCCTCCTCCTCCTCCTCCTGCTCCTCCTCCTCCTGCTCCTCCTCCTCCTCCTCCTCCCCCTCCTCCTCCTGCTCCCCTTCCCCCTCCTGGTCCTGCTCCCCCTCCTCCCCTCCTCCTCCTTTTTCTCCTCCTCCTCCTCCTCCTCCTCCTCCTCCTCCTCCTCCTTCTCCTCCTCCTCCTCCCCCTCCTTTTCCTCCTCCTCCTACTCTTCCATTCCTTTTCCTTATACATAATTTCTCCCTGTCGCACCCGGAAGCCAGTTTTTAGGGCGGGC